AATAACTGGTTTATTTTTGCCTGAACAGTTAAATATATTCACATGGAAAATTCACCATATATTTGCCCCATACAGTCAAGTGGGTTTGACCACAGAGTCAAAAAGCTTGTTAGCTAATCCCACAGAAAACATTCATTACAATCCCATAGCAGTTTCTACAGATGAAGTGCTTTTTCAGCCTTGTCATGAAGAGGTAGCTGCACTAAATTTACTATTAGACGGGAAAATAATTCTAAGATAATTGTAATTATCATCATACTTGATTGGCATTGAATTCAGGAAAAACTGAAATTCATTCTTCAGATTTTTACCTGATCCATTGAAAATCATCACTTTGCTCTTTTTAACTTTGAGTTGCCACCTTTGACAATATTTACAAAGAACATTAATTCGTGTTGCAGCCCCCTTGACTTGTAGGCAGTATTAATAGATCATCAACATATAAAATACAATTAAATTTAACATCATTCTTCACAAAAGCCATTTATGTAAGTGTTAAATAGAGTAGGATTGACGTTGCATCCCTGTTTCACACTAAGGTAAGAAGAAACATAAGGTGTGACTCCCTGTTTCAATCTAATGCTATACTTTGTATTGTTGTAATAGCCTTAAAATATTTCAAAATTTGCCCCAACCCCCTTTTTCAAGAGTTTGAAAAATATTAATAATATCATATGACGATGATTGCTGGCTCTGGTACGTGCGACGGAGTGTGATACCCTGTATTGGTTCCCTCTTACCTTAAAAAGATATTAACTTTTGTTGCAGGACAGGAATGTTAAAATAATTACCCAAAAAAATTTACTAAATTACTACAGTGGGACATTATAAATATCACAAAATTATATCAACAATTGTGTATGCCTGCTTGTGCAAATATACTTTTCATCTTAAGTTTGATTTAGGGCCTCGTTAAAAAGGACCTATCAATGAATTAGAAGGTGAGAGTATGAGCTGGATGCAAGGAAATCGAGGAATATCGATGGTACACACGCACTGTGTTGACAAAATGTTTCTAAACCCGCAATGATAATATATTCTCCGATTTGGAATGGTTCAGTCTCAGAATCTTTGATGTGGATGTTGAGATTGTTGCATTGGTAGTCAATGTGAATATCTGAGTGGATCATTGTTGTTTGTCGGTGAATGGGCAGTAAATTCACTTACACAAAGAAATCCAACTAAGGCAAGGGTAAACGATGACCACATCAAAAGTTGAACAACTTAAAAGGGTGACTGCATACAAACAACAGAACGTATTAAATTAAAGATAACGGGGAGTCGATTGTGGCAGTGAAATACAATTTGATGGTATTGTATGACACACAAAAAAAATGCCAGGTATGTAATGAAAAGTGTTACAAGCATGCTAGAAGAAATCCTATGTGCTCGACAAAAGTATGTGTATCAAGTATGATCTGTTGCATATGTCTGGCGAGTTGACCCTGTAGGGGAATGGCATGCATGATACTTTCTTTCAGTGAAAGAAGATGTGCACTTTGGTGTTGACATGATGTTTTTTTGCTATGAAGTGACTCTGTAAAACCGCTTGAAATGTAGGTAGGCGAGATCACCAATAAAGTTATTAGTTCTTTTGATCTGAATGATCATGACATGGAAATCTAGATATCTACCACACTCTCATTGTCACAATTAAACATAATGCATTTACCAAACAAAGAATTGTCGCACATTAAGCTGGAAAGTAGGACGGTACGTACAGGCCCCTTTATACTTTTTTCGTTATCCGTTATGAGGGCTTTTTAATTCCTGGTGATGCGTTCTCTGGATTTTTAATTCATGGTGATTCGTTCTCAGCTAATTTCTCGTTCTTCGTTATTGGTTGTAAAAAATTTCCGGTGATACGTTCTCGCAACTTTTAATTTCGCGTTATGCGTTCTTTGACTTTTCCGTTCTCTGTATTGTACGCTGAATTGCGCCACCAATAGTTTAAAATCGGTACACCTGAGTGTTTTTATACACTCGTGTACTTGTAGTATGCGAGAGTTCTTCCCATTGGTCAATTCTTCGAAGTGTGATCTTTTGCCAATCAAATCTACTGTTCTATAATGATTACAGCAAGTCTCTGAAGTATTGGGGCAGCCAATTTGCAAACTCGCTAGCGAATTGGCTAACTGCCTGGGATTTGACTAAACAGTTGGCTTTCGAATTTCGCTGGCGCCGTCTTGTTATTATATGAGTGGTAGGCGAATGTACCGGCAACTGAACTATGCCGACCCAACTTTAGGTCACTTTTTATTATCCACGAAACGTTTCGAGCGCCTGTGGTTTGCTGGTGTGTCTAGGAAATACTTGAGGTTTCATATACGCTTTATTACATGATGAATTATAATTTTCTTCTAAATTGTTTTATTGCTTCCTTAATATTTCATAGTTTTCCAATGGAATATTAAAAGGTTCACAACTTTTAATAATGTATAGTAGATAGGGAAAAATGTCAAAGCGTTTTTCCCCTGTTCTACAGGGACGTATATTATTAGAATTAATTTTGAATTATTCATTTGAGAAAATTTTTTAATGTGCAAATTATTTTCATACTTATGAACCCCCTTCCCCTCATATTTACTAATTTCTAAATTTAAGTTAAAGTCATTATTTGGCTATATATGCAATTTACAAACTTGATTAGTTTTAGGTTAAAATCTGTTGATATTAATTTCGTGATAAGCATAATATTTTATTTGGGTTTTAATCTCATTTAAATGAAACTTGCTACATGGATGGTCTGTTACATTGCACAGACCTTATTAGTTTTACACTGAAATCTGTTCATATTAATTATCTGTTTTGCATAATTAGTTTTAAGCTTTTCCATCAATATCTCAAGTACAAGTAATTTTGAATTAATTTTTAATGTGTCTCCATTACTCAGCACACAAGAGTTTTTGTAAGCTTTCTTTGATATTTATTTGACAAACTACTTTTCGTTATCTTTACTTAATTTAGTTGTTTATTTTGTATCAGTATGTCAGATCATTTGGGAACACAATTAAAGAAAGTTTGAAAGGTCATATAATTGGTCAGTCTATTACTTCACCAGTCCGTCATCATTTTATCCACCAGCCACAAATAGTTTCATTTTGGGACAGTCCAAAGCTCCAACCATTACCAGTTTAACATGAGATAAGAGGATCAAGAGAAAATGAGAAATTGGGCTGTTGACAATGGGAAAGTTGTTAGACAAAGATCAATCCGACAAGAAAACACAAAGTATAAGGCCACTGAATCTATACGAGGAGATACCAATTGGTGAAACATTGCATAGAGAGAGACATGATTTGTCAGATGGGTCAGCTGTTGAGAAGGACACATCTGAGAAAACTGATGAGCAAAGAGAAGAATATAGTGGTGATGAAAACTAGTGATTCAGAAAATGAGGAAGTAGATAACACGAAAGAAGTGACATTTCATGAATTGCTGAACAAAGAGAAACAGTGTGTGCAAGATAGGTTGGCTCCTGAACAGAAAGCAACTAGGGAAACTGTTGCACAAAGAGACGACTACAGTAATGACGAGAACAGCAGTTTAGAAACGGAGGAGATAGATAGTTTTAAACAGAAAGATCAGTTTATAAATGTATGTCTAACTACTATGTCTTACCAGCAATAGTTAATGTCAAATATCTTCAATAAATGCTTTTATATTCAACAATTCCTGGTGATTGGTGATTTTCCTCTTTAAATCTTGGTGATTGGGAGGGGGTATAAATGGGCCAGTACGTAACTGTAGATCTAGGTGGAAGGCTGCTGACAATTTGTCATAGAGGGAAAACTGTGGCTGTTTATCATTCGTCTTAAAAAGATTCTCACCCAGCTGGGACACATATACATACAAAACCGAGTTTTCTAATTAAGGATAAGAGTTCATGTTCGGATCCGACTGAAAAGATTATTTCTAAATGATAGAGTTCACTTCATGCAATCTGTCAGATGCTAAGCATAAAACCGTGTCCACAGTGTATAGTTCAATGCATAAGAATGTTAGTACAGTAGTGGGACTTTTAAGCTACTCTGGTGCAATAGGGACACGAAAGTCTTTACAGCCTGACACCATTGAATTTAAGTTTTCAGCACATGTTAGGAGAGATAGGTTGCTTGCAATAAGGTAATCATCCAAATAATGAAGAATATTATCTATTCAGTTGATAGATTCAGCAATGTGATTAAATAAAACAAGTAGCTGAATTCAGCTTAAATGGTCTGGTTACTGGTTGTTGACCGATTTGCTCATAATGCTGTATCCCAAAGAATGGTAGTTGTTGGTATATAGTTTGCTGTTGACAGTCTGGCGGACTGTCGTTGTCTATAGACTTTGAATTGTTACAGATGCTTATGACAGTAGACTAAGTTGTGTTGGATTCACTGATTGTAAAGTGAAATCGATTTTTCGGATTGGCCAGCTAACACTGTACTGTTGACAGCAGATGGATTCTGGACACTATCAAACAACTGGGTATATTTCTTAGGGATAAAACTCGTTCATACTCACAACTCCATCGGTTTAGTCTATTGTCTGCTTTGGGCAGAGCTAGAAGCCCATCTTTTTATTACAATTCCCAGCAGAATATAACACTATACATTGAGAAGACATACACGCCACCATCTTAAGTTCTACTAGCCTATCACATGAAAATGACTCAACTCATCATAATTCATTGATATTTCTATTGACATTATTAACAGCAAATTGTGTCATAGCAGGAATTTTGAAACTGACATGGCGAACTAGTGTGTTTGTACCTATCAATAACGACCTCGACAGGTCACATTCTAAATTCAATATGACACGATTACAAATATTAATGGTTGCACGTTGCTCAAGTGTATATCAATAAATCCACACCCAGTCAATTATATTTGCTCAACTACCATTTAGACACAATCTGATGACGGCATATACTAGTATATCTAAGAAAGCTATTAACTCATGATAACGTTCGTAATGTTTTAGACCATCAAAATAATATTTTTAGTTAATTCCTAGTTTGAATGGCAAAGTTTTTTAAGACCTGTTGTGCTCATTGACTTGGGACGTTCAATGGGGAAGCCCAATGCTCTTGACCAAATCATTGATGCCATGCAACCAAGTGCACGAGAGATTCCTAACAGTACAGTATGATAACTCATCTCTGTCATACCATAATGCTGTAAAGGAAAAATATAAAAATGTAAAATGCTCTCAATTGATGGCATTTTTTTTTAGTTTAGTAAGCATAATTGCTAACACAGTAATCCTGCCAGAATTTGTATCACTAATATTTATTTTATAAATATGCAACCCAACAGGCATGAATCGTACACTAACACACAAACCAGCCATATGGACTGAACAGTCACAATTGCACTGTATTGTAGCTCCATTGTATGTCCCCCTTTAAATAATCTACGAGCTTATGAATTGTCTCTAACAAAATAGCTATGGTCACATACACCTCTTTTTGATACATTTAACTTTGTATATTAAATTTCTGATTTGCTACCAGGGTATAAAGTCATTAACATATAATATAAACTCACTGTGAATAATACACCACTACAAGCATCCACATTGGGCCATGGATTCTTTGCTTTTCCTTGTTCGATCAAGATGTCTGGAACAATTTTGTACAGTTGTGATACAAGACGAAACAGTTTATCTTCTGGGAGATGTTTCAAAGCAAACTCGCGTAGTACCAAATGACGTGGATCTGTCTTTCTCAGCACAGCATGACCATAACCAGGAACAACCTAAAAGGAAAGAGTAGAAATAAAAATAAGCAATCAAACCTTCCATTGCATTGGGAATAGGATAAATAAAGCAAAATCATGAAGTCGAATGAGTCGAATTAGTATACAAACAAGTACACAGCATAAAAAAGACAAGAGATATCTAGCACATGGGAACAACCTACCTGTCCAGACTGAAGAGTATCCCAGATAAAAGCATGCATCTCCTCATCAGACACATCAACTCCAATATCTTGTTGAAGCTTGTTCAACCACAAGAGCACTTCCTATAATTCAAGATAAAGTGATAAATCATATATATATATATCATCATTTGATATATCAATTGAAGCAATCAAATATTTGTTTTAATGTAGAATACAATGGTACCAGCTTCAATTTCTTATGCATCAAGGATTTCTTTAAAATGTGGCATTACCAGGGGACTAAAACCCAAATTTATAACACAAGTTGTTTAGTGCTAACGAGTACTATTGCTTGCTAGCTTGCTTGCTTGTTTGATTAATTTTATTTATTACCCAAATAAACAGGCAAAGATCCCACGTTGGTTTACGTGTACAGAGTACGTGAACGGCGCACATGATCAAGTTCATCAAATCATGATGAGTTCTTATTGGCCCATCCAATTGGATGCCATGATCCTTCCAAACCGAATATTGTTTCTGTGAACATACTCTATTTCAATGTTAAGTGAGTGTGCGGCTGATGTGAGGTGAACATGCTAGCCACTGTACCATACCCATGTGCCACATTATTATGATCACTTACCTGGCTTGCTAACCCATGGAGTGGTCCAGCAAGACCATTTAGACCTGCTGCATATGAGAGATATGGATCTGACAGTGCACTGCCAACTAGATGACATGTATGTGAACATACATTACCACCTTCATGATCACTATGAAGAGATTACGAGAATTACCATGAATACTGTAAATTGGTGAAGCAACTAATTTCAAGATACTGATCCCTGTCTTGACCAACCTAACTCCTAGGTATGTGTCACTTGATCATTGGCCTTTCTTTACACTAGTTTTACTCTAAAAATGGGTGTCTTAATTTTTATCTAAAAGTGTTATTTTGTTATTACCTGGAAATTTTGAATGTAAAACTAAACTACTTTGAAGAAGTCTGACCAGAATGCAACAGCAAATCCAATAGATTAATCTACGCAACCACTTAGCTAAAGATATGTTTCACTGAAATTAGCAAGAGCATTTTCATGAAATCATAACGAATTTATTATACAAAACCTTGACCAAAACGTTTAACTCTCAACTAGGTATACTGGATAAAAAAACAAAATAGAAGCCCATAAGCTGATATAACTCTGCTGGTAATCATAGATATTGTTATGATATCGTTCAAGTCAAGACTGAATCACAACTGATTTTTGAATGGTAAACGATCTAATAATCATTATGAGAAGTGAAAAAAATATTGTTTTTTTTTAATATAAAGTGTCACCAAATTTGGCGATGACAGCATAACAAGGTTCAAATGTTGTTGAAAATATAGTACATTGCAATACAGCAGTGATATAATATGGAAAGCCTACTTGTATACAATATAAATCTAAGTCTTTTATTAAAAATGTGACACACCACTGTTTTAAAATAAAACATTTTTACTGTTTTGTGGAAAAACATTTAAAGTGTTTATAAGCTTGTCCCCTTAAAATATATTATCTGGATAATTGCGAAAAGTGTATATGATGGAAACACTTGCAGTCAGTGTTTTTATTGCAACATTTCAGTGATATTATTGCACATAACACATTATGTAAAGTGTTTCCAATAGAAACACATATTGAAAAGTGTTTCCACGAGGACATGTTTTAATGAAGTGGTTACAATCACAGTACTTTGAAAAGTTATCTCACAAGACACACATTTTGAAAAGTGCTCCACCAGAAATATGTATGTGTTTATCATCGCATACCCACAAGTGCTTGTAACAGAGACACATTTTAAAATGTCTTTCCACTGATAACATACAGCAATCATAATATACAATAAACATATCACATAATCAAGTAGTATTTATTCCTAAATATAAACATTAATAAGATAAGTATAACATTTAAAATATATATAGTTGTTGTAAAAAATATTATCAATCGCAAGAGGAAGTGTCCTAGAATTAAGTGCAGCTGAATAAGTGTGTTTACTGAAATTCAAACCTTTCGTGAAACTGTAGATACAATACCCAATAATTGTGAACATTGGCACTTAAAAACAGACGAGTAATGAACTGAAACGAACAATAACATCTTTAAACCCTTTCTTCATTTACATAAATGAAAGTGTCCAATCTTTTCCCATGTGGTATTGTCTCGAATGTAGTCTCTACACGCACATCAAATTCATGGGGAAAAAAATCATTAGTTTCAGAGAAACATGCGCCGTAGCAATAAATTCACTATATTGCAATCAGATTCTCACTCAATCCTCGAATCTGCATATATGCACTATTCTATTTCATTCATCTTTCACTTTTCTATCCGTCAAATGGGCTGATTGCTTATTTTCACCACTTTTAAAATCACTCCCTCAAACGGGTAGTTTTAAAACTACATTTACCAAATATGACTACACACCATTAACACGAATTGAACTGCATTTTCCTGTCTGTTAATTTCTGCAACTTTTCTATGATTTTATTTGGTAACTCAGATCATGTCTCGTGGGGGAAGTCGGTAAGGAAGTTATGCAGGATGGAATGCTCTGGTCCTGTTAATGCATAAACTTGCCTTTAATCAGTTATCCTGCACATAATAACAATGTAGTACACTGCCGACGCTGGCTCTATCAATTTAACTTAACACGTTTCGTAACGGAGTAACAATATCATCATACCTTCAGTTTCATTTAGGTTAACTTCCGGTACCCTTCTTTCCTCAGAAAATCTAAAAGGCATCCTTCGGTCCAAGTTGTTGTTGCTTCTCCCGATAGTATAATTCAATATTTGATTGAGTTACTTGAACACGTAACATATAATAGTGTTCATCGTGAACACCGTCGTTTACGAAAGGTATCTCAAAATTTTGTTCAATATTTGTTTTCATATTGTATTTATGAAATTTCTAAATATCAGTTAAATGGTTATATATTATTAGAGACTTGGACGAGCTTGTTTAAATTCTACACAAATTTGCGCAGGTGTGTGGTAATCACCATATTAGATGGAATTCAACATTGACGCTCCGCCAATAGAATAATAGCTATGGAGAAATCTTAATGAATCTAATGATTACATCATAGGGAATTAACGTCTGTCTAGTGCTACGTCATCTAGCTTACTAACTCAAGTATTGACAACATCGCGTATATTTAATTCCATTGGTTATTAAACTTGTGACAGGTACATGCACACTCGAAAAATATATGAATATATAAAGCTGTTTATTATTGAAAATACTAACATCAATAAATTTATCGCTACATGCACAGTATGTCTGCTGTCAATGGTGACATGGGGGGGTCATTTTTTAGAAGGTGCTTCAAAATGAAACAGTTTGGAAGTGTTTTAGTTACTCTTATGAACTTGTGTACATGTCGTGTACACAAACACTTATAAAACATGCATAGTCGGGTGTTTTATCTTGAAACATTACATGTGTGTTTGTTTTAGGAAGTGCTTCAAGGTAAAACAAAGAGAAGTGTTTTAATTATTCGCATGAACACAAATGTGTCTTAGACATTAACACTTTGCTTTTGATTTTGCTTTCTGAAGTGTTTCAAATTGAAAAGTTTTCGGGAAAAATGTTTAAATCACTTGTGAGATTGCTCTAATGCAATTGAAACAACCACCTTTCACCAAATGCGGAGTGTCAAAATCCATTAGGCCACTAAGTAATTCACCACGTGTCTCGTTTTGCAGTTGTACTTATAGGTTGGTAAGACCATATAAACGTACATAAAATTAATTAAAATAACACTATTTTCTGAAGATAATGTCATGACCATGCGTTGAATTACGTCACCTTCTGTGATTGTCTAGTTGGTATATATACCATAATGTTTACTTACGATCCCCCAGACTTTTCACTCAATTGTGTTAATACTGCTCGCATAAAGTTGGATGCATAAATGTCATATCAATAACACTTCAATAACACATTTATGTACCCGTAAAACACAAAAAGTGTGTTTACAATGTGCTTAATTTTCATCAAAAGTATTTTAATAACACCGCAAAACACTTTTCTAAAAATTCTAAAACACTACCGTTTTGATAGAAAATACAGGTGTTTTATACATGTTGTCAATTGCAACAGCGTGCTTTCAATTAAAACGGTATGTTTTAATAAAAAACGTGAAAGTGCTTCCAAGATTTACAGTGTAAATACATGCACTGTACCTACCCGAGCAACGTCAAATACATTCTCATCAGTTCTGTAAACATAGGATCATCATATCCCAGCATATCAGTGAAATTCCAAGACCAGTCTTTTTTAACATCAATAGGACAAACTGGTGAACCATCACGGAATAAATTACGATAAATAGTAGCAGCTATAATTGGTAGTTTACCGATTAAATCCATTGCATCTTCATACACAAACTGTCAAATATAAGAAATTTTCTCTGCTTTGGTTTATATTATTTCAGTCTTGTGGGTATACCAATCTAGTCAGTGTCAAGGTCACATAGAAGGGCTTTATTAGAGGTCAAACATTAAAAAATCTAAGGGGAGGCGTGAATGTACAAATTTGTTTTTCAACTCGTATATTCTCAACAATTCTTTTTCGATTTGTTTGAACCTGGCAAATTTTAAAGAGGGTCATGAAATCAAAAGAATTCTTTCCTGATCACATAACACGTATCAAAGTCCCTTTCCATTGGGAATAGTGATGGCAGGCCACAATAACAATAGCATTCCTCTCTGAAAAATGATATAATAATCAAACAAAGCATAGGAAGAACTCTAGTGAGACATTATAAATTAATTAGCCTCCCAAACAAGAAGCTTGGCAATTAATTTTAGTCTGCTATTTGAGATGTACAATGTGATCAACAATATTGTAATAAGTTTATTATACTTACAGAAAATACATTAGTTGATACACATTTTGTGATACCAGAAAATGGCTAATAATAATTAGATATTCATGTTTTTTATTATTAAAATAATCACGTCTGTGGATTATCCCAAAGCATCTTTGAACCAAATTTTAATAAAATGTGATGATTATGCACGTTGTGCAAATTAGTATGCTTGAATTTCAATCCAAAACTAATGCATTGTTTCCAGGTACTTTTTTTACCAAGTTATATTCGAATGCAATGACATGGTGAATGTACTACATAACATCGTGAATGCACTGCATAACATGGTAAATGTACTACATAACATGGTGAATGCACTACATAAAATGGTGAATGCACTACATAACATTGTGAATGTACTACATAACATCATGAATGCACTACATAACATGGCGAATGCACTACATAACATGATGAATGTACTACATAACATGGTGAATGTACTACATAACATGATGAATGTTCTACATAACATGATGAATGCACTACATAACATGGTGAATGCACTACATAACATGATGAATGCACTACATAACATGGTGAATGCACTACATAACATGGTGAATACACTACATAACATAATGAATACACTACATAACATGGTGAATGCACTACATAACATGGTAAATGCACTACATAACATGGTAAATGCACCACGTTCTTCGAAAAATGCACTACACAAGTAACCTGTAGAATGCTGTGTGGGTAATATTTTTATATTGATTTTTGTTGCATTTGCAGCAAATAGTTACCAAACAATGAGAAATCTATAGGATTGAATATACCTCTCGGCTGGCTTCACATGCATAGTTCAAGCCTGCCTAACCGGTGCTTATACAAGGATTTAATTACATCACCTAGACGATCTGTGGTTACAGCTTCATGGTCAGAGTAATCGCAAAATTGATATTACAATAGAAAATCATGAAAGACTGGCAGTCCCATGCAATTAATAGCAAGTGAAATTCCTGGGATTGAAACATGTATTTTGAAGTCACTGATGTAGGCAATGAATGATAACTTCAAGTTGGCATGAAGATGAGGTAGTTTATTTAATCAGTGCTGAAATTATAATTAAGTGCGTTGTCATATAATTTGTTTATTTCAATTTCTTCTGAAGTCAAATAGAATGCACTGGTGAAACCGTGAGTGAAAGGATGTCTTGGGGGTATAGTCTACATTGTGTATGAAGTGGTAGGGTCGGGCGTCACATAATTTGTTCATTTCCAACTCTTATGAAGTCACATACAATTTCACTTAATTTATTTTCGCTGAAACGTTTTCAAGCATTACATGTGAATCCGATTTTCCCTGTGCTGTGTCTCAATAGAGTATGAGGTAAATGGCATTTTCACTGGAATTTATTTCAGGGGAAAAATGTTTTCAGTGAAAATGAAGTATACCACATTATTACTTATGTACTGCAGTTTATTTTGATTCGTCTATGAAATCGGTATTTCCACACCCCATATGCAAATAAAGTAGTCCTTTCAAGAGTAGCGTTTTCGAAACATAGCAGAAATAAACAATATTTAGAAGTGCGATATTTTCTTTTGGGGTACATGAATATACTTGCCGAGTGAAATGAAATTTGAACAACAGTAATGGCAGTCACTTATTTTGACTAAAACTAATTTGCATATCACCCATGCAATAATGTTTTCTGTATTTTCAAGGTCAATATGCTATTATCAAGGTGAACATGGTATTGGCGATCCGCTCCAATAGGATTGTCCCTCAAATCATTTGTGTGTGTGATTTCCAGTGTTTTCACGTATTAGTTCTTCTGTGATTTTTTTGGCTTGGCCGATTTCGCTAAAACATGGAAGGTGGGTCACACCTTCACCCTAGTTATTAGGAAAAATCTGCAAAAAAATGTTGGTCCATCGTTGCCATAGCAACAGTAAAAAAATGATTTTTGGATAGCTTCGAGCTAAATGTATCTCCTACAAATTTAGGATACAACACCTCAGACATAGCTCATTGTACTCGGCTTGAGTGGGGGCACAATGATACTATTTGAATTTTTGATATCTTTTTTCATCAATGAGAAAGTTGACCCCAAATTTAGAGTAACTGTTCACCAGGTATGGCTTTTTAACTAACTCTTCTGTGAATTTTTTTGTGTGGCTTGGCTGATTTTGTTCATACTTGACAGGTAGGTTGTACCATCACTAATTGGAAAAACAATCCTGACCCACCACTACCATGGCAACAGCCAAAATCTGTTTTTTTAATACTTTCGTCCCAAATTTATTACTTCCTACCAGTCTTGTAATAGCAGTGTTCAAATGATCAA